GACCTTAAACAAACAAATGAAATTTAATAATTTTGATAATGATGATTAATTTAAAAAACAAATAAACATCTTTAACAAAAAGAAAATTGTTGGTTTAATAATGATTAATTTTGAAAAGTGAATTAATAATAATAATGAAAATTATTAATTGGAATTATATTTGAAACATATTACAATAATTAACAAGAAAAAAGAAATTAATCACATGCGAAATTCAATGAAGTAAGGTATTATCCTTATTTTTTCTCTGTATTTATCGTTTATGGAAATATAACAAAGAGGATTTGAAGCCGTAGACACTAATTAAACTAATTAACGATCACTAAAACTATCGAAAAACACACCAAATGAACTAATTAATAATTAAAATCAGCAAAAAAAAATCAAAAAAATCATTAAAATCAGCAAAAAAGAAATTGCAAACTTTAAAAGTAATAAGAAATACAACAAATAGTAATTAATGATCATTAAATTATCAAAAAACTCGCTTGCTAAATTAATTAAAGATCATTAAAACTGTCAAAGGATATGCTAATTAAAAGTAATTAACAATTATTAACAACTATATGAAAGAAAAGTACAAATTAAATAAAGCAATGATAAATGTAAAAACAAGTATTTTGATTTTAAATTATACCACTTGCATATGTTGTTACCGGATGAAGGATTAAAAAGCCAACTTTCATATTTTTGTCAACAATCATAACAGCTCCTTTGTTATTCTTAAATTATTATATAAACTTTTTTTTTTAATTTAAATAATAATTATTTAGCATAAAAAAAGAGGGAAGAATTAAAAGAAATAAGCAAATTAAATGATTTGAAGAAAAAAAAATCCTTTTTTGTCTTAAAACAAAAATTTTAATAAAATTAAAATTGTTGTCAACATTAATAAAGATATGTAAAAATATTTTTTTATCTTAATTAAATTAAACTTTTCCTACCTTTTCTAAATCATATCGTGCAGCACTAAAAACTGTCACCATTTTACGCTTACAAAAAAAACCAAATCCATTAAGCATCATCTGTAAAAAAAAATAAAAAAAAAAAAAATTTTATTATCAACTTAGTAAAAAAAAAGAGATAAAATTTTAAAAATTCGCATTCAAGAAATTAAAAAGGAATTTCTAATTTTTTCTAATTTCTTTTTTTTTGTTATCAAAATGTCAATGATTATCAATGATTTGAATTAAAATATCAAGAAAATTAATTAATGATTCTCTAGAATATTTAATATAGTTTTAGTATTGAATTAATAATATATGAAATGTCAATTTAATAGTATTTTAGTATTAAACTAATAGTATTTTAATGTTAAATTATCAGTAATTAATTGTGCACACTAGTTAATGAATAAAATATTCTCAATTGTTTTTTACTCTATGAATTTATTGAAAAAAAAATGTTTGTATCAATTAATTAATTACTTTTATTCATCTTATTTAAGTATCCGAATTTCAAATTTATGCTCACTTAAATATCGAAATTTATCAAAGATTTTAGAATGATCATCACAATTTTAATAATAAATTAATAATATATGCGATATTCATATCTGTTTCCGAACATTTTTTAATTTACATTAAATTTTTGAAATAAATTAAATTTAAAATCTAGTTGTTTGATAGACTAATTGGATGATGCATAATTATAGAACAAACAGTTTTGAGTGCAAAAAAATCGATGATTACTTTGTGATATTA